GATTTGAATACACGACTATATCATTTTAACTACAGTGTTCAGTTGAAGCTGATATTTTAACATAAAACAAGGCAAATGTATAAAAGGGACTATCTTAATAATGAGTTTGCTGTTTAAGTTTTCTATAAAAGTAAAACTTTACTAATATCTTTAATATGTTATTCATACTATGTAATTAAAATATATAATACAAATTTTTTTTGTTCAGTTCCATTATTTATGCCGATATTATTTTTACTTTTTTTGTTATTTTAGCAGCGTCTGGGCATATGGGCAACATTTTATAATTCAAATAAATATTTTAAAATTTGTCACAATATTTGTAGACATAAATCTTGATGGAATTTAAATGGATTGTACTTTGAATAATATGCCTAAGAAATATTTGTCTCTATATTCATTAAATAATGTATATATAATATATATACAGTTTGATATAAAAAAGCTTGTATTATCACATATATCTACACTTTGAATGCTTCCTTCTTTTAACCTTATTTTCGGGAAGAAAATTTTATTAAATCTGAAACCCAATGTAAGCTCATTAAGTGTTCTTTAAATATGAGGAAACTTTTCATTAAAGTTTGTCACATTCGACCGAATAAACGCAGTTCGGAAATATTATTCGAAGAGAAATGAATTCGCATTTATTCTACTCAATTCTTGCCACATAATTTATCTTTAACGGTGACCACCAAACTAGAATGACCTTCCACACAACTAGAATGCCACAGATTTGCAACATTAATTTCATTTTAGTTTCCATTTTTTATTTCTCGCTTTGTTTTCGCTTTTAATTCGCCCATCTGCGCTTAAAAATGCGTCAGCCAATTATATCTTGCAGTTGCATTTCGACTATCAGTATATTTTTTAATGGTTGTATAGATTTTCCTGAGAATTAAATATATAACTAATATGTATACGAAAACATAACAAGATGAGCCAATTTTGCGACTAAGGCATTTCTTTAAGCACTTCAAATGTGCGACAAGCAAAAAACTATGTAACTGGCGGCTAAAAAAGCAACTATTCGAAATTATTTTTAAATTGGAAGACTAGAACAACCAGTCGGAGGTAAATGCGAAACTCTAGGATGACAAATAAAAATGATTATTCCAAAGAAAACAAAGGAAGAACAGAGTCTCAATGCCTCTACAAAATGTCTTAGTTAATTGAGTTGTGTTAAGAATTAAACTAAGCCTGCACTCAATCCCCTTATAATTTACATTATTTTTGATAAAGCATACTCGTACAAACAATTTAGAATAGCCAAGTCGCCTAAAGTACAACTGTCACTCGCTGTAAATAGCATTAAGCGATAAAAACGGTGGGTGTTTTTAATGAAAGTCAACCACGGAAGTGCAATCGACAACCAAGTACGAAAGGAGTGAAGCGACAAACAGAAATGCTTAAGTGTCAATAAGTGAATATCTTGCAGCAAAAGCATGCAATTATTGGTTACGACCAACTAAAATATCAGAACAATACAAAGTGAGATAATGCACAGAGGCACTTTTAGACAAACTTAATTTAATTTAATTAAAAAGGTGCCGACAAGTGGCAACCAACGCAGCTTAGCCTTTACATTTAAAAATGCACCCTCCATTATATAAAATATATGTGTGCTTGTAAAACCTGTACAATCAAAGTGAGCCTTTGTGGCGTATACGTAATGCGTTTATAATAAGAGCGCACAGCAGCACTAACACCTCACGTTTGTTTTACATTAGATTAGATTTGAAAATGAAAATGAGGTATGCACTGCGACCTAGGGTCTATTGTGCCCTCTCCTCCATCACATGCATTCCCAAAGTCCCAGCATCCTGAAAAACTCCAGATACTTGCTGGGTGCTATTGAGGCAATGTGATCCCTGGTCACAAAAATGGAACCGAGGGCCTTAAGCCTGCGTCTACAAATTGCGGTGCAATCTAGGATTAGGTGTTCTGGTGTTTCCGGTCCCATGTCGCAGAATCGGCAGTTGCCACAAGAAGCTATGCCCATGTTTGATAGGTGCTTCTTGAGCCTGCAGTGCCCAGTGTATAGCGCGACAAGGAGACGGAGTTTGTCTATGGGGAGGTTTATAATTGTTCTGAACCTGGCTAGGTTGAACCCTCCCAGTAGCAGTTTAGCTTGACGCATCCCTGCTGTCTGTTGCCAGTGACTGTCTCTTCTCGATCTCTCCTCCTTTATTGTATGGGGCCCTACCTCAATACATGGTTCTGGCCCCATCATTCTTGTAGTCGCAGCAGAGCGGGCGAGTTCGTCTGCCAACTCGTTGCCGGCTACCCCTTTATGCCCCGGCACCCAGATCAGGTGAACACGGTTGCACGCTGCTAGGCGGTTAAGCCTTCCTACACACTCCTCCACTAATAGCGATCGAATCTCGAATGCCGATATCGCTTTTAGCGCCGCTTGGCTATCGCTGAGTATTGCGATACTCTTATTCCGGTAGTTGCGTTGGAGATTTATTACTGCGCACTGACTTATGGCAAATACTTCTGCCTGAAAAATGCTTGGAAAACAGCCCATGGGAATAGAAAGCTTGGTATGCGGTCCCGCAATGCCAGCTCCTATTCCTTCTGGTGTTTTCGAGCCGTCAGTGTACCACTGAATAGTGCTACCTCTCAGCAGTTGGTCAAGTGTGGAATCGCTCCAGTTCGCCTTACTGCCGAGAGTAACTTTAAACTTTTTCGTAAAGTTTACTCTCTTCGTTACACCGTCTCTTGGAAGGAGGGCCAGTGGCGTGTTATCTTCTAAGGCCCTCATTTGTTGAGACGAGATTAACTTCCCTTTACCATACCCCTCTGCTGTCATAAGCAGCATGGTATGCTTCGCAGTCTTGATTGATAACTAAATGGAGCGGTGTTGAGCTCTAGCATGACCTCAAGTGCTGCGGTGGGGCAGGTGCGCATTGCCCCAGTGGCGCAGACGCAGGCAAGTCTCTGCAGCTTCGATAGCTGAAGACTATTCGAAGTCTGCGCTGCTTTCGATGCCCAAACCACCGCTCCATAAGTAACAATAGGCCTCACGATCATGGTGTACAGCCACCTGATGATACTAGGCTTTGCAGCCCCAGGATCTGCCGGCTAGGCGTCTGACACCATGAGTGCTTTTGTGGCCTTGGAAGCGTTAGCTCCACGTGCCTGTTTCCACCGCAAAGTGGAGTCTAGTGTGAGACTAAGTATTTTACTTTCCCTCGACACTTCTAGCTCTCTGCCCCAAGGGATAGTATTCTAAAGCCCGGAAGATTCTTCTTTTTGTAAAAGGGTGACGGTTGTTTTTAACGGGTTGATTTTACATTGTTGTTGTTGTGTTTGTTTGTTACAACAACTGCCTATCTGTATGCAATATTCTACAGCAACGATATGCTTGGATTACGAGTCACAACGTTGTAACCGCTAAATATGTAGCAGGCACGCAAATAAATTCTTGCTTGCATACAAATACTAATGACACCGAGGAACTGCATACAACCCCTACTGATGAATATGCAGCAATTATATTGATACATACATACATATACATATGCACACTGTGATTTTTCACAATACAGGTGCATTTATGATTGTGTTTTAACAAAATGTGTTTACATAAGTGCTCGTAGAGATGAAAAACATATTTTAAGATTTCTGTAAGTACTTCGTAAGTACATTACTTAACATCACTAGACATTATTATAAAATTATTGCTGGGCGTATTACACATATAATTTTGATGCTTTAAGTAATATTAAGAGAGAAATTTAGCTTGCTAAATCAAACATTTGGGATAAGATCATTTACCTCCTTCTCTAGTGATTTCACGGCTAGATGAAAATATGTTCTGAGGAACCTTTAAATCTCAAGAAATATTACAATTACGCACTTCTAGACGGTTGAGAAGATTCTGACGTAAATCACATTATGATCATTATCCCTAACACTTAAAATTTTATTTATTTCTCTGTAACGTGACCAAAAGCCTAAGCAGCGTTAAGAGTGTCTACGCATTCGCAGAAGTCCCTTCCGAAAACAGAGAATTAAATAGACCATAATTCCACAATAATAATGCGCGGCGAATAATGCGCTGACTAAATATTCCTTTAATAAATTTATTACATTACGTTTTGTTGGAACCAAAGGTGTCCCATTAACACACCCCAGTTCAGCACGAAAAATTAATTATAATGGCTCAATAGCGTTCCCCTTGCTGTAACATTATGGCCGACTTCGATTTTCAATAAATATTGACCAAATATCGACCGCAACCATTATATGTAATTAAATTTGCACGATTTGCAAACAGTTCTTTCGGAGTCAGTTGTCATTATGAATGGCAACCAGTGCCTCATGAAACGTCTAAAACAACACCCGTTACATTAATTCATATTCGAATTTAGGCAGAATCTTCGGAGCTATAAGTATTTGGAAAGCTTCTAAATTTCAACTTTCATTAAAGATCAATTTTTGAAAATTTAAATAGTGAAAAAGTTTTCCTGCTATGTTTTTATTAGTTTTAAACAAGTTAATCCAAGCAATTCCAGTGTTTGGAAAATATTTTAAAATATAATGTCATGTAAATAAATTTGATTTCTGCAAAAGAATAAATTTTAGATATGTAGAAAACTTAAGACACAAAAATACCTTTATAAATCAATGTAAGAATCTTTTTAATACTTCTAATACAAGTTATTGTGTTTTTTCAGGTTTTGGTTAACCTTGTGTTGCTTATTTGCGTAGTTTTTGATAATCATGTCGCTTAAGTTATCATGCTTTCGGTCTGTCATGCCTTCTCAAGGCTTGTCATTCACTCTAAAATAGTAAATTTTAATAGAGGGATAAAACCATGACATTGGGCATAATTAGTTTGCTAACAAATTCAATACAGCACAGTTAATTCTTAGTATACATTTATATATTATTATAGTCTGTATGTACTAACTACATATGCTTTAGCTTTTAAGTAAATATGTATGCGTATGTAATAACAACGTGTTTTCTTGCAATTTATTTTCAGTGCTATTAAGGTAATTGACATGCTTCAATGGGGTAATGAATGTTAAATGAGTCAATGTATTGGAATATCAGCGCCTAAAAATAGATAACGGAAAATGCGCATATGCAATAGCCAAACTACATATAATTCACAAAAGCAAAAAGTGCTTAACGCTGGTACCACACATAGCTTTAACAGAATGTTGTGTATATAATCGGGTAGTGGTTCTGAAAACAGTTTGAAATAAATAGTGGTATAAGTGTGATGCGTTAGGAGAACTGTGTCAAAATACGATGGTGAAGAATTTGTAAAAAAATTTTGTATAAAAAATAACTCAACATATAATTACGGCTTTACCAGACATTGTGACGTGCGTCCGCAGCAGAAAAATCCCTTATCTACACTATATTTGATATTAGCTGAACCTTCTATGCTTTTTTGAATGTACGCTTAAATCCGATTAGTACGATTCGCTAACAGAAGTGTGATGCCGTAGTTTATCCATCCATTTGCCATTTTACGGATAAGTGCAGCATAACAAATTGCACACGGCTTCTATTTCGGCCGAAGCTCACAAAAAAAACAAAAGGAGTAAAAAAATAATATACGAGTTCACATTAAAGCTATCTAATTTACAAGCAAATAAAAAGGTGGAACTCCATTGGCACGTTTCCGAATGCCATGATTCATCATCATGTGGACATATATGATGGCCGCAAGCCGTGGAGAACGGGCGAATATGATGATGTCCGCCTCGAGACGTCGCAATGAAAGTGAATCACCGAAATATGGTTACAAGTAAGTCACACTAAAGGTAATAATATGTGTATAAAGGGCAGTGAAGTATTCTTACCATATTAACTGTGAACATCTATATTTCCTGCAATGAAGCATTCCACAAAGCGTCTAATTAAATAATAAAAAAATAATACTCTAACTGAGAATGTAAAATATCCATATTTTTTCTTTCACTTTATGTGTTCATTTTACATCTATTCTCTATCTAAAATGTATATATAATTTGCTGGAAATAAATGCGTTTACTAGTTATATATTATTTAAGTTAGGCAACAAAATTTTTGCGACAAAAAAAACCCCAAAAGAAATTAAGTCACGGGTACACCTAAGAACAATTATATAAAAAGGTATACTTTTCGGATACTGGTTGCACGTGCTTATAGTATACCTTACGACATTTGATATTAAAATTTAAAAATTAAACTACAATACATTACTATTACAAAAAATTTCTCAGTATCATACAATTTTTACACTCTCTTACATTCCATTCCAAAAAAGCGTCGGCCGCTCAATGCCATATCGTTCGACTGCTCGCCACAATGTGCTGCCATTGCACTCATCAGCGAGCTCAACATTACCATCTGGCGCATATACGTCTTATCCACATACAACAACAACAACAACACCATACTACGAATCACACCATCTCAGCAGTAGCCAGGCCGCTGCCGCTAATTTGCCAAGCGCCAGCACCAGCGCCGCTTCCACAGCCAGTCCGCCGCCATTCCACACACACGCGGCTTCAGCGGCATTGCACAGACTGCCGCCACACAACAGCAGCCAACATCACGTCGCTCATGCGAGCGACGATGAAGATGGCACTAGCTTTTTCGCCATCTCACCTTGTATGCCGCTCACCGTGCGTGGGACAAGGACACTCAATATTCGTGTATAAGGGGCGAAAGCGAAACTCGTAAAGCGTCTAATCGCCAATCATGTTTGCGAAAATAGCGACGTACCGCGCCGCATTTCAATGGAGATAAGCGATGAGGAGGACGTATTGGTTTGGTGGATGAGGTGGAACGTCGACGTTGTTTGCGCGCGGCTAGGAGAAATCCTGTGCTGAGCCGGAGATCGCTGGCGTTTTCTGATGCCGGTGGTGAAGGGAAGTGGTGGTCGCAATGACGCTAGGCGTTCAGTAGTGGCGTGGAGGATGACAGGAGAAGAGGATTATCTAGAGTTGGAGAGGGAAACGGATGTCACAGGTGAATTTTTAATGTCACTTTGCTTTAAATGCCTAAAGAAACGCGTATTGGTGTAGTTGTTGTTGGGGCAGTATACATTCAGGTCGAGTAAAGATATGCCAATATAATATAATAGATCTGTTGAAAATTTCAACATCATAGACTCTTTTATAAATGGATGTACATGTGTTCATACAGGTTGGTTGATAAGTTGGTTAGCCTCACCAAGAAATAGCACTACTAGCTCAAGTTGGTTCCTCTGTCTTCAGAACACATGACAAATTATAAGTTATTCTGTCAGTTTATTCTTTGTTAAGAAGCTTGAAGTTGACGTGCCAGAGTAATGTTTTAATGTGGAAACAATTTAATATCGCAAGTGATTAGATTCTTTGTTTTGAAAGATTTAAAAGCAAAGAAAATTCATGAACAAAAGTTCATAATATCGTTAGTGAAGATCCAAGTTTGAAACGTTAAATTGTGATGCATGACATCTCAGCAAAGGAGTACTTCATATTTTGATGGAGAGTTACATATGAAAATCTTTGGAACGTTAGTGCCGCACGTTAACAATCAAATAAAACTTATGGAGCGTTTTAATAGAATAAAACCGACTGACTGAAATAATGTTTAGCTCAAAGCAGCAATCAGCAAGAAAGTTATGACATCAGTTTTTGGGATAAAGAACTTTGTTGACTTGATTATCTGCAGAAAAGGTAAACAATGAACTCTGAATATTATTCCAGCCTTTGGCTCAGCGAATGAAAAAGTTTGTGAGAAAGACTCTTTAAATGAACAATTTTTCTATTACAGCCGTGTAGAGTTATGTTATTGAAAGTCATTACAGGGATGGCATAAAATTTTGGAGGAATTTAGTACCAAAAACAATATTTTTCATTTCGAGCGTAGAAACTTTTCAACCAACCTGTATATAAAGTTTGCCATTTTTCTTTAAAAGTAAAAGTAATGCTCAATAACATAACATATACATTTTATATTTATATGCTAGATATTGAAGCATTGCTATTCATTCACAAAAATGACACATCTGGCCGCATTTTTAATTTCTGATTTTCTTCCAAAGCTAATAATTGCCTTTAAACATTATTACAATATATTGTGCGTATAACATACTGCGGCATTATTGCAGAATCTCGACAATGATTGACGTTGCCTTATTGGAAAGTAATTGGGAGAAAGGAAGTATTTAAATGATTATTTTTTGTGTATTGTTTGGGTATGTCTCTTTATGTTGTTATTATCTGGTTCCGAGTAAATATTTCATCACCTCGTTCTGGAATAATAATCCTTTGACCATAACCCTTTGACACTTATGTTTGAATGGCCACTATTTTGAACATGTCTTTGGTTTTGCCTTCGATGATGTCAATCTGACTGATCAAACGCAAGTCCTTATATAGAAAACTCTTCTATTTAACAAGATATCCTCACGAAATAGGAATAGTAATAGTACAACTCAAACAAATGGTTTAGATCGAACTATTATAGCATATAGTTGCTAAACAAACTGACCCATTAAATAAAACTTTGTATGGAAATTTTTATTTATGAGGGATATTATAGGTTCGGTGCAATTAGGTTAACGTTACTTTTTGCGTTGAACATTTTTGAAAGAGGTTTAAAAGAGAGAGACAGGTAAGTTTTCCTTCCGATATACACAGGGTAATAACATTTAAAAGTACAAAACTATAAAAGTAATTATTGTATGCAACCCCCAATCCAACTAAAATACAGAAAATTTAATCAATTAATAAGTTAAGTTTGGTCAATAGTGACTACTCTTTCAACATGACTATGAAAAATAAACTAAAGTCACTGTTCATTAACAACTCGTGGTTCTGAAATCGAGTCGTAATTAAAAAATGAATGAGCTGAAAAGACATTTAGAACTTGCCCTTTTCAATTTAAGAAGCTATATGTACGTCTGTATTTTGACTTTCCATACATATTGCCATGTTGACTTCTACTTTTCTGTAAATTTCATGAACTGCTGCCGTAAATGTATGGTTTAAAGAAAGAACTGTTGTTAAGAAAGAATATATATGGTGAATATATATAGAAAAATTTAAATATATAAGTACGAAGTTATTTCAAATACTATATTCCTAATTTAACTAACATGTGGTGAATCATAGAAACTTGAGTATATGATATACTTGCGTGCAAGTAGGTGCTATATTAGCTAACGCGCTTCAGCAAAGGTTGCCAAGGAAAATAAATTGCTTGTTGATAAACTCAAAACTCTAGTTTGCCTATATTCCAAAAGATGTAGAGAAGATGGATTCGTTTATCAATACATGAAACAAAAAGAGATAAATTTTCTTAACAGCACAAGGGGTAGTCAGGCTGGTGCCAAAATAGTGTTTCTAGCCTTGACTGCGTCCAAAAACTTGACTCTGGACAACACTCAAAGATATTTAAAGTTAAATAGGGTAGGCTTACGCTCCTACACAATACACATTGACACAACTTTTATTATTGTCACCCACAAAAAATTAAATTTCAATAAACCAAGTGGCTGCAACCATATAAAAACCATAAAATTTCATTCAGAATATTGCACAATACTCATAGATTCAGCAAAAGTAGTAGAAGCACGATATGGGCGCACCATTCTAAGGCAGCTAAATACCTAAAATGTAAGAGAAAACATAAGCTGCAAGTGCAGTCGTCCATTTTCTCCAAAACAGTGATCTTTTTCAAACGGAATTTGATATTCAATATACCGCTTTGTTGTTTTTAGCACTGTTTGCAATTTCTTTCTAGTCTTCTATTCTACCACAGAGGCTCTTTTCACTCATCTTTAAAATCATAAAGCTTAGGGAGTGGAAGACTCCCCCAACTTGCCCCTCTTAATATGCAAGTTTTTCTTAAGTGCTCCTTTATTGCAATTGCTACAAGTTTTCATTTTCTTTTTGATGTAATTATGTTCAGCACTTGACTTCTTTGTTCAGTTTTGGGCGATAAGTAGTAAATACAATTGTGGCAAGATTTTCAAACTTCGTCTTGGCACAAGGCTACATGTAGACAAGCAATTGATCATCAATCCAACACACCCTCGAGAAAATGTTTATAAGCGCAGTATAAATTTAAAAGCCTAACTAAGCTTATGATTGCTTTTTATTTAATTTTCTTTGAGATATATATTTATCCATACGAAAAACACTTCGATATAAAAACGATAATAGAACTTAAACAAGTACAGACAACCATCAAAAACCAAATAATAATAATTGTGTTGCAAGTCAATATCGTAAAAATCGTAAAACTCAATACATATTCATTATCACGTGATTTTCGAAATAAAAATTATAATGATAACGGTCTCTGAAATTTAGTCAACGTAGCTAGTTTTTTTATACAAAATTGCGTCTAATCAACTAAAAACTAATAGAATTTTGAAATTTTATCATAAAAAATATCAATAAATTTTCACCAATAAAACTATTTTACTATAAAGGTTTTCTTTAAGACGTGTGGCAACTGCGGCTTCAAATAACGCATTTCATAGCTTCACATAGTCTAAATTATTGTTTTTATACCCTGAACAGGGTATATTAAGTTTGCCACAAAGTTTGTAACACCCAGAAGGAAACGTCGGAGACCATATAAAGTATATATATAAATAATCACCGTGACGAGCTGAGTTGATTTAGCCATGTCCGTCTGTCTGTCCGTCCGTCCGACTGTCCGTCCGTCCGTCTGTATATACGCGAACTAGTCCCTCAGTTTTTGAGATATCGATCTGAAATTTTAAACACTTCTTTTTCTCCCCAAGAAGCTGCTCATTTGCCGGAACGGCCGATATCGGACCACTATAGCATATAGCTGCTATACAAACTGAACAATCGGAATCAAGTGTTTGTATGGGAAACTCTTTCATTTGACGAGGTATCTTCACGAAATTTGGCACGGATTATTAATTAAGGCAACAATGTAATCTCCGAAGAAATTATTCAGATCGGATGACTATAGCATACAGCTGCCATACAAACTGAACAATCGGAATGAAGTGCTTGTATGGAAAACTCTTTCATTTGACGAGGTATCTTCACGAAATTTGGCATGTATTATTATTTAAGGCATTAATCTAATATCCGAAGAAATTGTATGGATCGGATGACCATAGCATATAGCTGCCACATTAACTGAACGATCGGAGCAAAGTGCTTGCATGGAATATTTTTTTATTTGAAGAGGTATCTTCACGAAATTAGGCACGAGTTATTACTTAAGGCAACAAATTATTCTCCACAGAAATTGGTCAGATCAGATCACTATATCATATAGCTGCCATACGAATTGAACGTTCGGAATCAAGTTCTTGTAAGGGGCCTTTGTTTTTGTTCGGCGCAACCGAAGTTAACGTTTTTTCTTGTTTTTTCTTCTAACTGTTCTAACGTTAGTGAGAAGTGTCTTTAGTTTTAAGTGCGACAACGGATTGTTTTTTGGTCTTATTATATTGCTTTTATTAGCTTCATCTGTATTTTGTATGTTTGTAACTTTTTCTTGTGCAGGCGATAACTTGAGTATAAATTGAGATATTTTGCTGAAATTGCTACATATATTCATTGGCACCCAAGAGAGGTCGGAATTGCAGATGGGTATAATCGGATCATTGTGTTTTTTAGTTTTCAGGAATGTTGCAAATGCTTCAAATACTTAGATTTAATGTTGGTTACTTTGAAGTGCC